TTAAAGATTAAGAATTTGGTGTTATAAGGTCATTTATTACTAGTATTTAAATGTCTTTTATACATCAGTATGCACTGCAGAAATTAAATAATGCAGTTACTTTGCTTATTTGATACATTTTAATATAAAACTTTAGGATTGAAAAAAAAATTATTGTGCCTGAAGTCTGAAGACAGGGTTTCCTGTGGCTTTTAATTTTTTTGTTTTTGACAGTTGATAATTTTTTAAAACAAATTTTAAATTCAATTTTTATGTGTTAATTCTAACTATATATCAACAATTTTAACTGAAAAATATTTAAGGATCAATATTGTTTTATTTTCTGACACTTCTTTAATGTAATTCACAAAGAAAAAAAGTTCATATTTTCATTTCTGCACTTGTTTTTTAAGAATTTTTCTGCCCATCACAAAGAATAACTGTTTGCTAAGAGATTATCATCCCTTGAGATTATATTATCCTTTCTATTATTTTCAAGCATTTTTCTTAGTTTTGTACAAGCCTTAGTTGAACCTTTGTTATGGTGCCACATCAAGTAGTTTGATCATTTACTAATGAAAAATTGCTTTGAAATTAACAATAAAGAAAAATAAATATGATTGTATAGAGCTAAAATTGAGTCTGTTGTATAATAGTAGAGTAAACATAAAGGTTTCAAAGTTTTTTATAGTTTCTACAAATGTTCCTTTTTTTTGTGAATTGTAAAGGTATGTGTTAAATTATATCTGTTTGAAAGCTACGGGAATTCTCTTCAATGAGAAGGTGTCAGATATCTTGAGAGTAGGTAAACTTATACAGTTTAGAGATGGACTGAATGGGTGACAAAAAAAACAACAACTTTAGTACAAATTTAATACAGTAATAAATGTACAATGTTTGGAGAAGGTTTTGTCATCATCATCAGGTTTAAGTAGTTAACTTAGAGCAGGCCTCGACAAATATTTTCAGATCTAGGAGCCAGCCCAAAAACTCAGGAGCCAGGTGGGCCTAACCTAACTTACTATTGTTTGTACTGGGAAATGGGGGCTACACTAGTACCTCGATCACACAGGTCTGCAATGGTTTTATTGTCTTGAAGTTTTTACATGTTCTACAGTAATTCCTGTATGCTGAAACCAAAAATGATATCCATATTTCTCCACCATGTACAGATTTTTCACAAAATGTCATAACACAATACATAAAAAAAAAGACCACAATACTTAGATTTGAG